GCGAACAGATGGCTACTAGTTAGTCAACTTCTACGACATGTTCGCTAGGGGCAGAGGGTCTATTCTTGTTTTCTCCCATGGAACCCAGACTGGGGAAAGCCAGAGATGAAATAATACCTCTCCAAAGCAATCAGCCTGGGCAATATAGAAACCACGTATGGCCTATGCAAGCTGAAGACCCATTTCTCGGCCTGCCTTAGTTTCTCTAAAGGAAAGGTATCACAAATACAATGTCTTCACCCAGCGACATATCACCCGATCGGGACAAGTTTGCACAGATTTTTGTTTGAGATCTGTTATTATGCCCGGAGATTTCTAGGAGATAGGACATGTGTGTCGGGTCGTGTGTTACTGAGTACACGACAGGTAAGGTAGGGCGTCGTTCTCGGCTAAGGGTCATCTAAATCTGACCAATGGCCTGCATAATGTCGGGGATATATGTCCAACGAAGGCAGCAGTCATTTAGATTTATCTTTCTCCTTTCTCTTCTTCTTTCTACCACCTCCAATTTTTTTTTGTTTTCTTGCTTCTTTCTTTCCTTCTTCTTCCTATTTTTTCACTTTTATTCTTTCAAAGAACTGCATGACGAGAAGGAAGAAGAAACAGAGTCAGAAAAAGAGGAAGAAGAAGAGACGGCGGTAGTAGAAGAAAAAGAAAAAGAAGGAGGAGGATGAGATAATGATGATTGTTACTTCCAGAATCGTTTAGCTATTTCACTGCCAAGAAACTTCAGGCCCAAGCCCAGGGTGACATGTCTACAAGCTAAACATTCAAACATAACTTTGACATGTCTACAAGCTAAACATTCAAACACAACTTTGACATGACTACAAGCTAAACATTCAAACATAACTTTGACATGTCTACAAGCTAAACATTCAAACACAACTTTGACATGTCTACAAGCTAAACATTCAAACACAACTTTGACATGACTACAAGCTAAACATTCAAACATAACTTTGACATGACTACAAGCTAAACATTCAAACACAACTTTGACATGTCTACAAGCTAAACATGCAAACATAACTTTGACATGTCTACAAGCTAAACATTCAAACACAACTTTGACATGCCTACAAGCTAAACATTCAAACACAACTTTGACACGTCTACAAGCTAAACATTCAAACATAACTTTGACATGTCTACAAGCTAAACATTCAAACATAACTTTGACATGTCTACGAGCTAAACATTCAAACATAACTTTGACATGTCTACGAGCTAAACATTCAAACATAACTTTGACATGTCTACGAGCTAAATATTCAAATATAACTTTGACACGCCTATGAGCTAAATATTCAAATATAACTTTGACATGTCTACGATCTAAACATTCAAACATAACTTTGACATGTCTACGAGCTAAACATTCAAACATAACTTTGACATGTCTACTAGCTAAACATTCAAACACAACTTTGACATGTCTACGATCTAAACATTCAAACATAACTTTGACATGTCTATGAGCAAAACATTCAAATATAACTTTGACATGTCTACGAGTTAAACATTCAAACATAACTTTGACATGTCTACGAGTTAAACATTTAAACATAACTTTGACATGTCTACGAGCTAAACATTCAAACATAACTTTGACATGTCTACAAGCTAAACATTCAAACAAAACTTTGACATGTCTACAAGCTAAACATGCAAACATAACTTTGACATGTCTACAAGCTAAACATTCAAACACAACTTTGACATGTCTACAAGCTAAACATTCAAACACAACTTTGACATGTCTACAAGCTAAACATTCAAAGATAACTTTGACATGTCTACAAGCTAAACATTCAAACATAACTTTGACATGTCTACGAGCTAAACATTCAAACATAACTTTGACATGTCTACGAGCTAAACATTCAAACATAACTTTGACATGTCTACAAGCTAAACATTCAAACATAACTTTGACATGTCTACAAGCTAAACATTCAAACTTAAATTTGACATGTCTACGAGCTAAACATTCAAACATAACTTTGACATGTCTACGAGCTAAAAATACAAACATAACTTTGACATGTCTACGAGCTAAACATACAAACATAACTTTGACATGTCTACGAGCTAAACATACAAACATAACTTCAAAAAGCATATGTTATTACATAACATTTATTAGTAATAAAATACAGTTTGCATAACGTTCTGTGTGTACCACGTAAAAGTAAAAAGAACTGGATAGCTAATCTCATGGTGCTTATCAGTGGTAAGATGGGGAGGACTACGTGGCAAAGTCAGCCTCGCGTTCTGAAGTTTGTGGGTTCGTTCAATGTATGTGTCATTCAGTTCACCAGTGCAGGTCTTAACCCAGATCCTGAGATTGTTGATGCAGCTACGAAGTTCGTGGACTGGGTGACTCGCATGGCAGGTGGCTAGTCATTCTACTGGGAGCGACATAACAATATGAGATAACCCAATACAAATCTTCTCGATAAGTGGTTATAATTATGAAGACTGTAGGTAGATAACACAAGCTCTTTTTCTGTGTTTTTGTCAAATATCCAGAAACCATGGGTTCTTAATTAACCCTCTGGCTCCGCACTACGGATATTGCAACCCTTCGGCCTTGATTCCATGATAAATACCGTAAATCTGGGAGAAATGTCCCTTTTCTATGGGAATGGTTTTAGAAGTAAGCCCTGAGTACAAATCTAGAGATGGAGTCCTTAAGGCAGTTTTATACTGTAAACAACATAATTCTGGAAACTCATGTGGCTACACTGATGCCATGGTACCAGCTACTTACTGACTTTTCCTTGGCCAACATCTCGGTTCTGGCAGCTCATGTGGCCGCACTGCTGCCATTGTTCTGGCTATTGCTTTTTCCTTGTTCAACAGGAGACTATGTCGAGAGATAGGACACAGAACAATTTTGTTCCGGCTGCTTGCAAAAACCTAATGAATTCAACTGATTTAACTTAATGTATAAGTGTGTTATATGGTGGGATGAAGTTTCTTGGATAATGAGGTAAACTGATGCATGAAAAGCTTGATATTGTAGGGAACCTATGGGAGCAGATAATCTCGGTCTGAAGAGAATGGTACCAGGGAGGATTGACTAGGGGATATGACTGACTCTCAACACTCAGAGGAGGGCTGAGATGGACATACAATCACAGTGTTACTGGTACCACTGGAATTGGAACTCTGCACTTGCTGCTGACAATGAGGATGGATAGCTTAAGGGAATGTTCAGAGTGCTAAGATGTCGGTTCTTAACTCATTAATGATTAAATTTCTTGGAAGTTCACTCCTTTTGTGGATGTGAAACAATTTTCACTGTGCAAAGAAAAAAAAAACAGTAGTGCCAGTGATATGAAGCATTCGGTACACAACTAAGTGGACTACCATCCAAGTCAAGCACGTATCTACAACTGTTTAAAGAATTATTCACACATACATACAGAGGCGTCAAATTAAAAACCTTATAAATATGATAGAAATTACAACAGCCAGGAGATTATCTTGATGACGTCCACAGGTTTCACCCCTTCACTGATCAAAAAGAGGATAACAGAACTCTGATCTTCTTCGGAGCATGTCAAAAGTAGGATGGCTATTTTTAAACTGTAATTACAATGTGACTGGGAGTCACCATGGAGTTGGTGTCTAGACGACCGCCTGCAGACTGGAAGGTCGTGGGTTCGTATCCTGGTGGAGCCGGACTTTTCTTCTTCTTCAAAAATGGCCATGACTCCCAGGTCAACCCAGCCTTGAATGGGTACCAGATGCAGTCCTGGGAAGTAAAGGTGGTCAATGTGATGCTAACCACATCGCCCACAAAGGGCAGATTGATCTATAAAAATATAGGTCTAGGCCTATATTCCAAACGCACCTAAAGGCGTGGAAAAGGGACCTTTACTTATGACATAACTATGCTTGTCTTAACTGTGAGGTCACAGGTCTAACACTCTTGACATTCTGAACAGCAATACTGACAGTTTACAAGACAATGCTATGGTTACTGCAATTTCTATAACACTTTAAAGGTTTTCATTTAAAACCCCCTGGAACAATAATGATAACGTGAAATTACTACAATATGTAAGATGTGAATAAAAGACTACAAATCAAAAGACAGATGTTGATTGCTTGTGCCTGAAAAAAATACAATTTAACGCTTGTGGTTGTCAATATACCAGTGAACCATAAATTTTTGTTCATACTGATAAATACTGGCAAACATTTTAGTTAATTTAAGGAAAGTGACAGGTGAATGGCACCGAGAACTTTTTATGAAAAGGAATATGAAAGCAAAACCAAGTTTCTCATATTACAAACATATTAAAGGGAAAATCACAACCTTCACAGACAGATGAAAGAAAGAAATAACATATTTCAAGCACGTGAAATAAAAAATAATAATGTATCACCAACATATGAAACAGAAAATAACAACAGATCTCACACACATTAAACAAACAAACAAAACAAAAAAACTTCCGTATCACAAACATATGAACAAAAAAATTATTTTCCTAAACATATGAAAGAAAACAACAATGTATCACAAATAAATGCAAGAAAAAATAAGAACATCTCAATCCAGCAGAAGACAGAAGAAGCTAACCAAACAATTCTGACAGTATGTGTTAACTTAAGAACAGGACAGAACAGAGCAAGAACATTATATCATCTATGGAATGACACAGAAACATGGCATATTATTTGGTATGCAGAGTAGCATCACATTACATTTTCATGAGCCAAATAATAACAAATTAAAAATGAGAATAATTTTATATTTTTCATTAAATATCTAAAACAGAACATTACAGTCATTACATTTACGTGTTATATTAAGTAATAAATATCTAAATTGGAATAGAAAACTACAATCTGGCATGAACACCTAAACATGAACAAACAAAAAGTCAGCAGTATCTTCTCTGTGATTGAGTGTCATCTGTCAACATCTGGGGGGCCCCTATGTGCTCCAAGAGTGGGTCCTCCAACAATAGGTAACCAAGTTACCAGCTTGCCTTCAAATGATCGGCCACCTTTTTCAGGAAGTCTTTATGGCTGGCATACAGGCTGATCTCATGATGTAGATCCAGCCACTGGACTCCAACAGCATCATCACCTGCTCACCGACAACAGGTCAGTGTCATCAACCCTCAATGATAGCATAAACCAAGTAATACAATTAAAACTGTAACAGACAAGCTACCAAACTTGACCATAACAAATGTACTTAAAAGCTAGCTACCAATGAGCAACATCTTCCTCTTCTTCGCCGGTTGTAAACTCTGGTGGAAAAGTTCTGGTTGTTCGTCCACTTCTGCACTCTAGACCTCTTCCAGAAACTGAGTGTTGCATGTACATCCGTTTCACAGGTCTGAGTCATTTGCATGTAGACTGTTGGTTCCTTGCCTCTTAGGCAGATGTACTCTGACTTCGAAGGAAACTCCTAATTAGTCGACTCTTACAATATCAACTGAATTAACAACATAAAACATGGGGTGGGGTAACTAACTGAGTTGGAGCCTACAGGAGGAAAATGCAAAATCTTAATAAAGACAAAAGCTTTTAACTTAAAACACTACTATTATTGTTATACAGGCATTTCATACACTACACATGACACAGCGCTTTTGGCAGAAAATGAGCAGAACTTACAGAAACTTGTGAAACAGGTGAATTAGAGATATGCGGCATTTTTTCAACTGCTTCTCTGAACTATAAACTGTATAATGTGTTGTAGTTTACAGCTAGACTAGACTGAGTTATCTTAACCTTTTGGCCAAACACAGCCGATTTCAACAAACCCATAGATATTTTGCCTCGTACAATACGTCTGACAAGTGGCAGTAGGTCTTCTAGTCAGCATTTATCAGCTGTAACCTCCACCGGAAAACTGTTCCAGAATTTGAGTTTTTCTGTGTTGCAGATCTGGCTTACATGTACACATACTGCTGGTTCCTTGCCTCTTAGCTAGATGCACTCTGACTTCAAAGGAAGTCGCTTTTTACGACAAACATGTTAGCGGGGAAGTGGGTCTTTCCCCCACCCCTGAAAATTGGGTCCCGGAACAGAAACCCACATGAGAAGCAGTGGGTCTAGCTTTTCCTCTTAAAAACAAGGCTCCAGAATCCACAAGAGGAAAATAATTTGAATAAGACAATTTTCATTTTAAACTATGATAATTAGCAAAGTACTGGGGTAAATAAAGGAAGACAAGGAATATCAGAGCCAAGTGAGAGACAGCCGAGCCAAGCGAGAGATACCAGAGCCAAGTGAGAGACAGCAGAGCCAAGTGAGAGACAGCAGAGCCAAGTGAGAGATAACAGAGCCAAGTGAGAGATAACAGAGCCAAGTGAGAGATAACAGAGCCAAGTGAGAGATAGCAGAGCCAAGTGAGAGATACCAGAACAAACAGAGATACCAGAGCCAAGTGAGAGATAACAGAGCCAAGTGAGAGATAGCAGAGCCAAGTGAGAGATAACAGAGCCAAGTGAGAGATAGCAGAGCCAATTGAGAGATAGCAGAGCCAAGTGAGAGATAGCAGAGCCAAGTGAGAGATAACAGAGCCAAGTGAGAGATAACAGAGACAAGTGAGAGATAACAGAGTCAAGTGAGAGATAGCAGAGTCAAGTGAGAGATACTAGAGCCAGTAAAAAGTGTCTTGAGTCTTGGACATGCAATAACAGATGATGCCCAGAATGAAACACAAATCAAGATATTAGGATATAATGTTTGCTGAAAATAAAAATGTGGATGGAAGCAGTAAAATACTAGTATCAGGGGGACCAAAGAATAAAAAAGACACTTATTTGGATAGCTGGAACGGGACAGTTTTGATACTAGTAACTAGTGATCTTGTGAAATGATGAGCCAAGTTAGAACATAATTATCAGCACGGCCCATGATGATGAAAATCTTACAACCTATGTGACAAATGGCAGTAAACAGCACAGCCCATAATGATGAACATCTTACAACCTTTGTGACAAATAGCAGTAAACAGCACAGCCCATAATGATGAACATCTTACAACCTATGTGACAAATGGCAGTAAACAGCACGGCCCATGATGATAAAAATCTTACAACCTATGTGACAAATGGCAGTAAACAGCACAGCCCATAATGATGAACATCTTACAACCTTTGTGACAAAAAGCAGTAAACAGCACAGCCCATAATGATGAACATCTTACAACCTATGTGACAAATGGCAGTAAACAGCACGGCCCATGATGATAAAAATCTTACAACCTATGTGACAAATGGCAGTAAACAGCACAGCCAATGATGATGAACATCTTACAACCTTTGTGACAAATAGCAGTAAACAGCACAACCCATAATGATGAACATCTTACAACCTATGTGACAAATAGCAGTAAACAGCACAGCCCATAATGATGAACATCTTACAACCTATGTAACAAATGGCAGTAAACAGCACAGCCCATAATGATGAACATCTTACAACCTTTGTGACAAATAGCAGTAAACAGCACAGCCCATAATGAACATCTTACAACCTATGTGACAAATGGCAGTAAACAGCACAGCCCATAATAATGAACATCTTACAACCTATGTGACAAATAGCAGTAAACAGCACAACCCATAATGATGAACATCTTACAACCTTTGTGACAAATAGCAGTAAACAGCACGGCCCATGATGATGAAAATCTTACAACCTATGTGACAAATGGCAGTAAACAGCGCAGCCCATAATGAACATCTTACAACCTATGTAACAAATGGCAGTAAACAGCACAGCCAATGATGATCAACATTGTAAAACCTATGTAACAAATGGCAGTAAACAACACAGCCCATGATGATGCACATCTTACAACCTATGTAACAAATGGCAGTAAACAACACAGCCCATGATGATGCACATCTTACAACCTATGTGACAAATAACAGTAAACAGCACAGCCAATGATGATGCACATCTTACAACCTATGTGACAAATGGCAGTAAACAATGAAAGGGAAAACAAGCCAAAGATACAAGAGGAATGAAAACAATGAGGGCCTGTTATTTACCTGCAGTGAGTTTGAACTGGGCAACTCCACTCCCATCAGCGTCGTGAAAATTCATAGCCACCGTCTCCATCCAGGCATTATCTGTGTTTCTGGGGTCGTCCACATAACCCCTGTAAACCTGAGAAAGCAAGGACTGTTTTATCACTGAAGACAACAACAGAGAACCTATGACACTTTCAAAGTTATATGAACAGTAATGGTTGCTGATGGGTTCTGACAGTCAACACTGGTGCACTCTGGACAAGCCTTTGACCTATGAGTGTTCAGTCTCCACCAGCAGACGTAACTATATTTATATATGCTGCATATATATATACATATTTATACTATATTGGCTCATAAACTGCACTTTCCTGAAAGCTAAGGTATTCTGGCCATGTTAAACATCACAGTGTCCTTGAGAGAACAGTGATGGAAGGTGCCGTTTCTGGAAAATGAGGCATAGGTCAACCTCAGCAAAAGTGGATTCTGTATATTGAATACACACTGCCGTGAAGGCTACCCCAGTCAACAAATACCCACAGAAGTTGGATGTGTTGACCAAAAGGTGCAAATATCGCAGCCATGCTGTAAACGGACACATCACAATTACATCTTTGGATGAACGCAGAAGAAGAAGAAGAAGAAGAAGAAGAATACACATTGGGCATGAAAGTTTATAGGGCTGTAGAACTGGCTAGATAAAGATAAGACTTTGAGGCATGCCATACAGAGAGTGAAGTTCTGTAAAAGACCTGTTGTTTGATGTTGGTCATGATGATGATGATAATGACACTATGTGAAAACATAATTCTATAAACTACATTAAAACATATTTCTATATTTAGCTCGGTGATTTCGTTCATAGCAGTGAGAGAAAGTTTTGGCTGTTGTATTGTCGTTAACCCTACCAGACCTGAGGCCCTGAACCTAACTGTCCCTATAACCTGAGCTCCTGTTCACTACCGCAAAAAAACCAACATGATGTACAAAAATATTAGTTACATGCAAACGAGTGGCTAGAATATAATGAAACTTGGAGACATTGTAGAAAATAGGCTTACCTTTTATCTAGCACCAATATTCCACCTTTGTGTGCGAATTCACTCATCAGGATCAACTTTGTTTCACAAAGTGAACACTAGATGTTGCCGTTTGATGGACACACCCCCTCCTCCTACTATTGATCTATTTCAAGATTGATAATTTTATAGATTTTCCTCATCATTCGCGCTCTCACTGACAGTGTCACTTCAAGAATATATTCTTTATGAAATTATCGCAGATAATGAATATATATATATCACAGAGTCTGAATAAACCAAAGTACTGATCACCTGTTGGACTGTGAAAAGCCTAGAACTTGGTTCATAAGCCGCTCGTTTCAATGTGAATTTTCAGAATTGTCCCACGTAAAACATCACAAATATAATCCAAACAAACGCGGGCAGACATTTGCAATGTCTAACAAAGAGGACTGGTAACGACTGGGTGGTTATTTTTAGCCCGTGACGAATCGTTTTCCCGTACTACGCAAAAAGCCAAAAATTATGACCAGCGGATAGAGACAGGTTAAGAAATCCCCAGTAAACCGGGCCAGCGGTCTGGTAGGGTTAAGGAAATGTGCGATGTTTAATTAAGAATCAGCATCACAGCACTCGAGACATTCCCATAAGCGCTCTATCGCTATCTTCAGCAGCAAGTGCAGAGTTCCGATTCCAAAGGTACCAACATCAGTCTGATTGTATATCCGTCTCTCCTTTCCCTTGAGTGCGGATTGTCGACCAGATTCCCTGGTAACTCCTCACAGTACCATACTCTTCAGACCATAATGATCCATCTGTGCTTCCTCACTGTTCACTTGCCCCTAAAGGGCCCTTACAACATCTGGCTTGCCATGCATCAATTACGTAGTCAAGGACCTCACCTAAAGATCGAGCTGGCTCTATGCTGGTCTTATGGGTCTTCATGCAAGACTCCTGCCACACCTCCTCATCGTGCGCTACAGATAATGGTTCATATGGGCCTAAACTTAGCTGGCAGGGGATCTCAGAGTTAGTGGCTCCTAAAGATGCAGTGTCAAGAAATTCTTTGGCTCTCATTAGCCAACCCCCACTCCACGGGTGACAACATCTATTAAAAACTCATCTGGGACATGAGTAAAGCCGATTGGCTGAACATCCTGTTATGACAAACCTTGGTTCAAATGTCTGCTGTCCATCAATTATGTAGTTAAGAACCACACCTTAGGCACCTATCTAAACACAAATTGCATATTTATATATATTAGATGAAAAGATATTTCTGTACACTGCATGAAAAAATATCTTTGCTAATAAACTTACCTCCACTCCATTTTTAAACAGCTTGTCAACAGAGTAAGCAATTTTCTCCTTCTCACACTCGGGAACCTCCATAGAATTGAGAGCTTCTTCCCCAAACTCTCTCCTCATTGTGTATGTGATCACTTCTTCTGCATCCACCATTCCCTGTAAATGGAAAGTCGTGTCTAGCAGAGTTACATAAAGGGAAATTAGATGTGCTTGACAGAAAGATGCAGAAATCACCACCTAGCTGTAAACCACAATAAAATGTGCGAGCCACCCTTTCAATGTTGAAAACAGAGGTAGAATACGAGTTATTTCATTTTATTATTTGTGTTTACCAGCTGAAAACTCTGGCGGACAGTTCTGGTTGTTCCTCTCTGTCTGGACTTTAGTCTTGTTTCAGAACTTGAGTTTTGTATGCACATCCATTGCACAGATGCACTCCGACTTCAAAGGAATCACCCGTAACTAGGTGACTTTTAAAACATGCTTGTTGGGGGGGGGGGGGAGAACTAGGTCTGCTCTTTATCGGTCGCTACAGCGGGGCTCTGGACACATTTAACACGCAAATAATTCTTCTTTGTTTGCCCACTGTGTTGTGGCTGACAGTTAGCTGGGTTTCTTTTTCTTTCCAGGATTGCACTCTGTAAGATTAAAAATCTTAAGGATAAAAATCAAGCAGTGCAAATCCCAGAAACCATATTAAACCGTACAACCATACAGTTAGTGCGTATCCTTTACAGGACATTGCAGAACCAACCCAAGCATTTTTTGGCCGTTGTGGTTTTTCTCGACGAATTTACATCCAGTAGTCTGCCACTGTTTTCTGGATGGTTGGCTTTTCGATAACACTGTGGAAACCTACCCACGGCACAAAGCCCGCAGCTGTGATTGAACCTGGCACCCAGGTATTACGAAACTTGTTTGCAACACCTAAGCCACAGACGTCGACTTACAACCATATAGAACAGTTATACTGGAGCACTACACAACGGTCACAAAGTCACCTGCAGGTCCCGTGTAGGGTGATTATTCAGCTAATCAGTGATTTCCCCACCTTTAGGCCTAACACAGTGGTCGGCAAACTCATTAGTCAAAAGAGGCAAAAATCAACAGAAGGATGATTACATTTTTTTTCTGGGACAGCCACATTTCTTTTCAAGAACCTGTCAAGAACCATATTTTTGGGAGTCAAAACTGATTTGTGGCCAACCCGCACTCAGGTGGCTAAAGAGCTGCATGCAGCTCGTGAGCTACCGATCACTGGCCTAGCATATCTGATTTCAGAAAATTCCTACTCAGCTACCTTTTATGACACCCTTGCTGGGGGGGGGGGCAATGGGTCTATTTGTTTTCTCTCTCGAAAATAGGGCCCTAGATCCTACATAAGAAACACAGAAAAGACTAGCCCATTCCTTTCACTCACCCCAGGAATTGCCCATTCATTACAGTCTCCTCTCTTAATTGAAATAAACTGAGCGATTTTCTTTCCTTCCTCATCCAGCTCAGGCTTGCCTTGTTCATCAAGTTTCCACCTTGAATAACAAACAGAACAATTATGAGTCTGTCATCAGATGCAAAATTGTATAAATGTGAACAAAAGTAATTATTCAAAACAATGTTTTCCTGTAATGAATTTAATTAACGCAGACACATACAATACACTGCACAATTTATTGTACAGGCATATTTCGCTGTATCTTGTCAGTTGCATTGTTATTGAGTTACATCAACACAAAATAAAGCACCAAAAAAAACAGAATAAATCCAACTAAAAATGCAAATGGTTTCTTACGGTGCATCATGCTCGCACAGTTGCCAAAAGTTTACTGTATTCAGGGTTACTTCAAATTTACTATAAACTCTGCTTACACAGGAGGGGGCTTTTGATTTCAATTGTTAAAGCTTCGACCATTCTCAGCAGTTGCCTGTTTGGTGTGGTAAACCATATAGAAAGCACTGTCCCTGTCAATTATGTGTTCAGAATGAGACAAATGATGCCCTATAGAAGAAGTGGGTTCTGTCCTCTTGCTGTTTACAAAATGACACTAACAATATCATATGCATAAACTATAGTTCAGAAACATGAATAAGCAATATATATGAACATACTGATGAACAAGTCGTTTCACAGAACACAAAATTCAAATACAGAGGCTCTAGTGAAATAAGGAATGAAAAGGAGAGTTGCTTAATGAAATAAAGTAGAACTTTCTGTGTTGGTTCTGGGAATAAAGTGGGTTGTGGTGGGGCGTAGTTGATCCACTGCCTAACTAACAAGCATGTCCTAAATGTAAACGAATTAGGGATCTTTCCTTCAAAGTCGGAGTGCATCTACCTGAGTGATCGGCAACAACAGTCTACATGCAAATAAGCCAGATCTGTAAAACGGATATAAGGTCTAGAAGTGGACGAACAGCCATAACTTTTCACTGGAGTTTACAACTTGTGAACAAAAAAAAAAACAAAAAAAAAAAAAAAAAGAAAAGAAATCAAAAAGATTTAAGTTAAATATTTCAGCCACATTCATTCATTCATTCAGTAGCATGTCCCTCGCGGAACCTAGCTGCCATAACAACCCTCCGGAAAACCTTCCTATCCTGAGCAAGATGTCCTACGTCTGATACACCCATCTGGAGATCATCTGCCACATCCTGCACCCATCTTCTCCTTGGCCTTCCTCTTCCTCTCTTCCCAGGCATATACCCCTCCATTATTGTTCTCTCTAGACTTCTATGACGTTTCAAGTGACGAAAATATTTCAATTTTCTTTGTTTTATTGTCTTTACTAGCCAACCCTCTTCAATATTCAGCTCTCGAAGTATGGATGCATTTATTCTTTTCTTTACCCAAGATATTCTTAGAACCTGTCTGTAACATTTATATTCAAATGCATTTATGCGCTGTTCCGCTTGTTTAGTAAGTGTCCAGGTCTCACAGGCGTATGTTGCAATGGGAAAGATGCATGCTCTTAAAAATCAGCCACATTAGAAGACATAAAATTTGTTTAACTGGTTGAGTACCAACAACAGATAATGTGTCTGTTAGGTTATACTTACTTTATGCATAGTTCTTAATGCCTTATGCCACACCCAGTCGTTGAGTGAGCCTAGTCTGCTCCAATTGTTACTTGAACCCATTCTCTTTCCAAGTGATATATATCTATTCTAACCCCAACATTTACTATTAAAGTACCATCTTACCACGATATAATGAGTCAAATAATGTCAGCCTGTTACTGAAAGAGTTAAAAACCATGCTGGAGAAAAAAGCTGAAAGCAAACAAGAGGTAGACAGCAAGACAAGAGGGAGGACATCATCAAGAGATAGACAAATAGTAGTCTTGGAAAGAGACAAGAGACACCGCGTGTTGGAGATCCCTGCAGCCAACCTTGTGGAGATGGCACCTAACTGATTGTCTGACTTACAATGAACATCATAACAAATGTGTTTCTAGTATTCATTCTATTCTGCATTTCTTCTTTTACTGTCTTTATGCTAACAAATTATTTCCAAGGTACTACAAGCTGTGTGTATTCACCAGGTATAAACTCCGAAGAAAAGCTCTGATTGTCTAATTCTGTACCCCAGCCCTATTCCAGATCCCAAGATGTGTCTGCACATCCATTTTACATGGCCTCTCAGGCCATGCACTAGAACTTTGAAGGAAGCGCCCAATCAGTCAACTCTTACGACAACCTTTCTGGGCGGGCCATGGGTCTATTCTTGTTTTTCCCCACAACATTGCCCCGGAACCCACCCGGGGAATAAGCTTAGAGAATGTTACTGATCATCTTCTTCTTCTTCATTTCCTCTTTTACCACTTTGGGTGTTGAGTGAGATATGAGGTTCTGATTCCCCACTCTTCTGGCTGTCTCAACCAAAGACACATTATGTTGTTGTAGAGCTTCTCTGTTATCTTTTACACATTATGCTGTAGTAGAGCTTCTCTGATGTTATCTTTCACACATTATGCTGTAGTAGAGCTTCTCTGATGTTATCTTTTACACATTATGCTGTAGTAGAGCTTCTCTGATGTTATCTTTTACACATTATGCTGTAGTAGAGCTTCTCTGATGTTATCTTTCACACATTTTGCTGTAGTAGAGCTTCTCTGATGTTATCTTTTACACATTATGCTGTAGTAGAGCTTCTCTGATGTTATCTTTTACACATTATACTGTAGTAGAGCTTCTCTGATGTTATCTTTCACACATTATGCTGTAGTAGAGCTTCTCTGATGTTATCTTTTACACATTATACTGTAGTAGAGCTTCTGTGATGTTATCTTTTACACACTATGCTGTAGTAGAGCTTCTCTGTTATCTTTTACACATTATGCTGTAGTAGAGCTTCTCTGTTATCTTTCACACATTATGCTGTAGTAGAGCTTCTCTGTTATCTTTTACACACTATGCTGTAGTAGAGCTTCTCTGTTATCTTTTACACACTATGCTGTAGTAGAGCTTCTCTGTTATCTTTTACACATTATGCTGTAGTAGAGCTTCTCTGATGTTATCTTTTACACATTATACTGTAGTAGAGCTTCTCTGATGTTATCTTTTACACACTATGCTGTAGTAGAGCTTCTCTGTTATCTTTTACACATTATACTGTAGTAGAGCTTCTCTGATGTTATCTTTTACACATTATGCTGTAGTAGAGCTTCTCTGTTATCTTTTACACATTATGCTGTAGTAGAGCTTCTATGTTATCTTTTACACATTATGCTGTAGTAGAGCTTCTATGTTATCTTTTACACATTATGCTGTAGTAGAGCTTCTATGTTATCTTTTACACATTATGCTGTAGTAAAGCTTCTCTAATGTCATCTTTTACACATTATGTTGTTGTAGAGCTTCTCTAATGTTATCTTTTACACATTATGCTGAAGTAGACCTTCTCTAATGTTATCTTTTACACATTATGCTGTAGTAGAGCTTCTCTGATGTTATCTTTTACACATTATGCTGTAGTAGAGCTTCTATGTTATCTTTTCCACATTATGCTGTAGTAGAGCTTCTATGTTATCTTTTACACATTATGCTGTAGTAAAGCTTCTCTAATGTCATCTTTTACACATTATGCTGTAGTAAAGCTTCTCTAATGTCATCTTTTACACATTATGTTGTTGTAGAGCTTCTCTAATGTCATCTTTTACACATTATGTTGTTGTAAAGCTTCTCTAATGTCATCTTTTACACATTATGTTGTTGTAAAGCTTCTCTAATGTCATCTTTTACACATTATGTTGTTGTAGAGCTTCTCTAATGTCATCTTTTACACATTATGTTGTTGTAGAGCTTCTCTAATGTTATCTTTTACACATAATGTTGTTGTAGAGCTTCTCTAATGTTTTCTTTCACACATTATGCTGAAGTAGACATTCTCTGATGTTATCTTTTACACATTATGCTGAAGTAGAGCTTCTCTGATGTTATCTTTTACACATTATGCTGAAGTAGAGCTTCTCTGATGTTATGTTTTACACATTATGCTGTGGTAGAGCTTCTCGGATTTTATCTTTCCATATTGTTCTTGGTCTACCTTCTTGTGCTCGACGTACTTCTCTTTTGCTGCGTGCCTTGTATGGTATGGTGTCCAAAGCATTCTCTCTAAATGGCCCCACCATTTGATTACCTGTCTGTGTATGTAGTTTAGAACTGTTTCTATGCAAACATATCCTCTTATGACCTCACTACTGATTTGATCTGTTCTGGTCACTTCTGCAGCCTTTCTCAGTCATTTCCATGTACGACTGTTTGGAGAATTTCACTGATCAGAACATGAAGTGTCAACGATTACCTGGTGACGATCGGATCAGCTGCATGATTGGGCCCCCACCTGCCTAGACATCCACGGCCTATGATACCTGTCCTTCCTATTGGATTTCTGCATGGAAATAAAGCACAAGTTCAAACATACGCTGTCCTTTTTTTAATTGCATGTGCACACGTTTTCTAAATAAAACAAACAATAGCTGATCAGTTCTACTTCTTCTTGGCATAAGATTTTCCAGGGTCTTTATAGATTCAGTAAAAAAAAAATGAAAAGGCCCTTTTCAGCGCCTTTGGGCACACTGAGCAAACAAGTCTAGACATATATTTTACAAACTTATCAGCACTTGTATGGTGATTTGGTCAACATAACATTGCCTTTATTTCCAAGGAATTTACCAAGAAGAGAACAAGACTGACCTGTATTCAGAATCTAAACACAGCGGGCGAATGGCTCAAAAACAGCCCTTTAGCCATCTTAAACACCATAATTATTTGGGGGAAAAATAGGATTGGAGAGTAGCGTTCCAGGAAGGAAAAAAGACAGGAGGCGATAAACATGATAGTGGACATAATATCTCAAGGACACCCTGGATAGGAAAGTGCACAGTGCAGGAAAGCTGGCAAAGAAAAATGTAGTAGCTTTCTGGCATGCCGTATGAGAGCAATGTTCTGCAAAGAACCTGCTAAATGATCATGATGATGATGATGAAAGGTAAGTTTAAAACTCTAAAGTGCAGATTCATATGGACTCATTTGTACAGATTCATTTTTAACTATGAATTTGTAGATTCATATTTGTGTGGGAACGACACCAAGATGGTAATGATAACCAAATGAAGGACTAGTGCCCTCCAACAACAATGAGAGCAAAATATACCTTGGAAGTTTAGTCTCTGGATCCAGAGTATAAATTCCCATGTGACTGCATCTGTTAATAGCACCATCAACTTTATTCCACTCTGGAACCCTGCACAAACAAGAGAAGAAAATATTAGGCAACAACAATCATTATACTTCACATTAGTTAATGGACGCCGTGGTAGGGTCTCATCTTCATCTTTCTTCATCTTCACTTCCTCTTTTACCGCTGTGGGTGTCGAGGAAGATATAAGGTTCTGTCTCTAGCTCTTCTGGCCGCCTCGACCACAGGCACATCGTGCTGTTGTAGAGTTTCTCTGATATTATCCTTCCATGTTGTTCTTGGTCTACCTCATGCTCTACGTCCTTCTCTTTCCATGTATGCTTTGTATGGTATGGTGTCACAAGGCATTCTCTCTAAGTGGGCAAACCATTTCACCTGCTGTCTTCGCATGTAATTTAGTATTGGTTCTGTGCCGACTTTTTCTCTTATGATCTCATTCCTGATCTTATATCTTATGGTCACTCCTACAGCCCTTCTTAGGTAGGGTAGTAGGGTAGTTGCTAGAAAGTCGCCTGACCATACGTCTGCCTTCTTGAACCTTTCGACTGCAAATTCTCTAGATTCCAATTCCCTAACAACACTATGTAATGTTTATGATGTCTTTTTTTGCTCAGTCAGTACTGGTGTGTTTTAGTTTTTAGTGCATATCTGCACGTGACAACACCCCCATAAGTGCTGCGTCCTTATCTTCAGCAGCAAGCCAAGAGTTCCAATTCTGATGGTACCAGTAACTGTCTGATTGTATATTGGACTCGCCCTTCCCTTGAGTGTCAGCCAGATCCCCTGGTATCTCCCCGCAGCGCCATTCTCCTCAGAGCGTAATGATCTAGTTGTGACTCTGCGCTGATCACTCACTCTTAAAGGGCCCTCACAACATCTAGCTTGTCATGCATGAATTCACCACCAAATGGTGCAGAACCGGCCAGTCTATCTGCCTGCTCATTTCCCAATCCGCACTGAGGCAGAATTTTGCCTTTAAATTGACCTTGGCTCACAGCAATAAGCATTTAGTGTGGTTTTCACAGGAATAAAGCAATTATAGGGTGACCCATAACCAAACAGTTAGAAATAGAACTAATGTATGTTCATATTCTGATAAATCTGTGATAGTTCTGCTGCTCATACATAAATGTTCATATCTGGGAAAATCTGTGACAGTTCTGCTGTACAAAAATAAATATTCACATCTGCGTAAATCTGTTCTGCTGTATATAAATAAATATCACTTGTGCATCCTCAACATGATGCTGCAAAGCCAACCTTTGCATATTCTGGCTTCTGTGTCATTTTACTGGTCAATTTTACATTCTGTAGTTTGCCATTACTTTCTACCCGGTCTGCTCTCCATATCATTGTCAAAATCAATGCAAAGATAGCAAACATCCTGCAGCTAGAATCAAACAGGGTATTTCAGAAACCCCTGAACCACAGGCATCTCTTGGTAGCATTTGGAAAAAGTGTTAAAGATTCAATTCTCAACCAGGCATCCTAGCAGCAATGGTTTAGCCAACAAAGAAGGCAAATATGTGAGCAGGAATGTTACAGTCAAACTAGTGTATAAGTGTCAATCATCAGGCCAAGTAAGTGAGCCAGGATGAAAGAAAGCATGAATGATATTGGCACCCTTCCATCTTTCCCGAGGATAGTATTGTGCTATAAGGAGGTGTAGAAACTACAACCTATGGCGGTTGTGAATGTGGCTCTCAAGGCCAGCACATGGCAAGACAAATTTTCTACGGTGGCTGCATGGGAATTGGGGACCACTTCTGTCAATGCATATTGTGTTTCTTCTCAAATGTATAGCCTGTAAACTACAGTCTCTTGATTTGATTCCGAGGGATGGAGGCCAGAGATGGAGGCCAGGGATGGAATTTCTCCTCTCCATGGCACAGAGCCTGGGCAAAATTAAGCAGACCATGTGTTGCCCATGCAGCATGACCCCTCTCTCGGCCGCCTTGTTTACTCCAAAGGGAGCATTCACAGGCTTGCAAAATACTAGGAACAGAATGAAGTTGATGTTTTGTTGTTTTATTTGTTAGTTCACTGGCTGTAAACTGTTCTGGTTGTTCGTCCACTTCTGGACTTTAGCCTTGTTCTAGGCTCTGCATTTTTCATGCACATCCCTTTTACAGATCTGGCTTAGCTGTGTGCAGACTGTTGTTTCCTTGCCTCTCAGGCAGACAGATGATGAATTTACAAGAAACACTGATCCTATCTGACACTGGCCAGGCTCCCGGTTATGCTGTTTCTAGGATGACCACAATGAGAGGTGTAGTCAGGTCTTATTCTGCCACACCATCATGTGTGGTTGACCATCTCAGCATCTCACACTTAAGTAAAGTAGGGCTGCCTTTACATGCAACTGGCTATTCGGCCGTCTGAGGCTAGACACATATTTTTATAGACCAAGTGACTAGATGAGCAATGTGGTCAGCGTTATGCTGGCCACCTTTACTTCCCAGGAATTTACCTAGTACCAATTTAAGGCTGGTTTCAAGTGGAAGCCAAAGTTACATTTGAAAACATCCGGCTCCATGCGGATCTGAACCCATGATCTTCAGATCCGCAGGTGAGTATCTAGCCACTACACAACGACAGCCCCCACATCTCAAATAAGCCAGTGATAATCAGGACTGCTTTCAGAGAAAAGCCACAAATACAACCGACCTGCCATTTAAAATATCCTCTCTGTCAGCCCAAGCTGGCTGGTCAAGCACAGACTTGGAAGTGTAGTAAACTGGCTGGTACTCTGGGAATGGTACACTCCACGGCACTTTGTCGTCTGGTACAGGAAACCTTCTGACATTTGAGCGTGGATACATCTGCAAGTATACCAAGGTAGACACATCTAAAGAAATATAAAATTCATAATCTGTTTCATCATCATTATAGGCTGGCATATATGACTTAAGAAATACGAGAGTGCTTTGTAATTTCATGCAGCCGGATGCGATCCCAGCTGTGGGTAATCTGGCAGCAGATCACTTTGTGTTGGTTTTAACAGTGCTATCGAAAGCTGACCACTCAGCGAGCAATGGCAAACTAATGAACATAAAATTGCGAGATCACAAACAACCAAAACATGCTGGGTTTGGTTCTGCAATGTCCTCTAAAGGAGAAACACAAGTAATATCATCATCTTCCTGTCACAGAGGGCTTACAGTCTACAATGTCTGATAATTAAGTAATGAGACTCATTCTATAAAAATTTATATAACAGTTGAAGATATAACCTGTATTTTATTCAAAGTAAGTCCCCTGTGCACTGATACAGCGAGTGGTATGATCTAACTAACACTGGAACAACCTATGTAGTTCATTTGTTATGGCCCTCAAAGTCGATGTTACTGCCCTTTGGATGTTATAAATATCATCCTTTCAAAAATAACTTTAATTCTTGGAATAGAAAATGATCACAGGGAGGAGACAATTCTGGTGAATAGGATGGATGGCAGAGAACTCACAGGTTTTTGGGTTAAAAATTCATGTAAAACTACTGCCTGGTGAGCTGGTGCATTGTCACAAAGAAGGACAAAACTGCCAGGTGTTGAATACTTGGGTCAGACGAATCCTTTTCAACAGATGTTTGAAAATACTTAAATAAACTGTGGCTGTGATACAATTCTTTGTGAATAAATCATTTGCTGTCGCAGAAGCACACCAACATTGTCGTTACTTTCGACTTTTGAAGATGGTTAACGGATTTTTTTTTTTGCCTTTTGGTGATGATGACTTCCACTGAGCATTTTGGTGTTTAGTTGTTGGATCATAGCGGAAAATCCATGTTTCAACCTCTGCAACAATCAAATTTGAGAAATGTTTATTTCTGTGACACATTTTGATGATGTCTTTTGAGTACTCAACACATAAATGTTTTTGGTCATCAAACAACGAATGTGGTTTAGATCAGCAAGCAACTTTTTCCTGCCCAAATTGCTTTGCTTCATAGATGGTATTTTTGTCTTGGCCATAATAAAATCAGTCTCACTACTTAATTGTTGGACCTTGTAGTCCACCAGTCTGTCCTATCTTGTGTGAACAGAAGATGAGGGGCTAGATAGAACTCTTACCTCCGACCTTGCCTTGATGTGTGGATGCTCTCCCTGCATGACTAAAGGGCTAAATGAGTGAACTTCAAAGGGTGAAGGTATTTTGTCACACAGATCTCTCCTGGCAGGGGACTTGAGCTTTGTTCTGGTGAGGTTATTGGCCCTGCCGATTCCTAATATCAGGGATGCCTGCAATAAAGATTGGAAAGACCTACAAACTACACATATTCTGATGACTTCTCACTGTTAGTTTCACATAATTGCAACAATATCGAAGCTGAAAAGGTTAATTGGTTTGTCATTTTCAGGATGCTACCCAAAGGTTTATCATGCCATCCTGAAATTACAAAATCTTAACCTGGCACATCAACAAGGCAGATTTAACAACATATTCCCTTCTACCTCCAACAAAGTTTCTCATTGACTACTGATTGGTCTATTGAAAAAATGAGTTTAGAATATACCACTGGAGTGACGGGGCCCGTTTTCCCTTGCTTGCTTGCTTGTTGTACCCCACCAGGACATCAGACAAGAGATAAACACCCAGTGACATAAAGTGCTACCATGCGGATGAGAATCATCTGTGGAGAGGTCCCAGAAACCCCTTTCAGCCTTTATGGCTACATTTGTGGCCCAGCTATATTCAGGCCCCCCAGCAAAAGCCAGGGTGGGGCTTCAAATAACGTAAAATTACATTTCACAAGGGGACGACTTGGATACATGTTTTTAACTTAACCGCGTTGACACAAGAAAGCCAGTTTTCTGATTTTTGATGACATGCCTTTGGGCTGTGACCAAAAAACATTTCTGAGATTTTATTTGGGGTAACAAATTTATGATATCTGTTTGCTCTCTATGGCTGTGTCAACAAAGAAACACTCTTTTCTTTGTCACAGAGAAGAAAAGCAGTTATTTCTTTGCTCTGTTTGTATTTAGTAATTACTTCCCTTTATATATATATATTTATATATATATATATATATATATATATATATATATATATATATATATATATATATATATATATATATATATATATATATATATATATATATATATATATTTAAAACCTTTGCACCAAGTAAGAAAGATCTACCTTTTTAGTAACTTATAAATTTTCATTTATTTTCATTTAGATTTAGTTATTTCATCTGCGTTGGAATTTTAAGCTGTGCTGTTTACCATGGCGTTCATTTCCTAATTATGGTGTTTTTTTCCTGTGTTCATTTGCTTTTCAAGTGTTTTTTTTTCTCCCAACTACTTCAATGAGGGAAAGAGTTGTCGGTGAATTTGGGGGGGGGGGGGGGGGGGGGGGGGGGTGGGGGGCAAACTATTTACTGAGAGAGCTTTAAGTCACAGTAACTGCTTTACCCCCTTAAAGTAGCAGCAGCAGTAGTAGTTGTGGTTGGGCTGTTACACCGCAGTGCTCTCATGTGAAGACCGCCGGTAAGGTTATGGCGTTCTTCTGTCGGCAAGTGAAATTATACATCCTAACCTGACCAGTCTGTGGCGACAGCATAGCCATGCGGAACCAAATCTTCTGGCTCACGACTCTCTGTCTACTCCGATGGTAACACAGATAGCAGTGTCATTATTTTAGTAGTTGTACTGGTACTTGAAGAATGATGTGGTAAATATTACACTAGCCCCATTCACTACCTATTACAATTCCTGCTCCCCATTTTAGTCCAGATGGACAGGGATGTCAATGTCAGTTACAGCAACAACAAAATATCGCCAGGTAATGATTTTCAAATATTTCGAAGAGGGAGAGAGCAGTAGTCGGTGGAAGAGGGGAGGGGAGGGGGGTAATGACTTAAATTTAAGAGAACTTAAAGAGCTTTACACGTGATTCTTAAGTTCTGATTACCTAATTTGTGTATATTTTACTAACGCTACCTCCGCTTTTCTATTTTTTACGACTTACTTTGTTATTTACAAGTACAGTTGTAGCTTTACTTCCGTCTCCTATAAAAATACAAACAGCTTTAGCATGTGATAACCAAATAACGACTTTTGTTACCGTGCTAATAGCACCATTTAAACGACCACTAATATAAAGACACAATTATATGGTGCGTGTTCTAAAGTTGGAAAACCAGACTATCTCTATATAAATGTGCAGAGAATGATTGCGACATTAACTATATTAGACAGGTGCGATTTCCATTGTCTTTCTTTCCCAAAAACCTTTGATGAGGGAGAGAGTAGTAGGTGGATTTAGTTGTGGGGTGAGGGGGTGGGGGGTGGGGAGGGGATCAAAGACTATCTCTATATCTGAGCAGACAATGATTGTATTAGACACGTGCGATTTCTATTTTCTTTCATTTCCATTTAGCCAAACTATGCCACAGCAACGCGTGGCCGGGTACAGCTAGTTTTTATAAAAATGACAAAATTATTTCTGCTTCTTCTTCTCTTCCTCTAGTTTTTTAGGGGGACAGTATCAATTATAATGATGCCTTTCTTGTAGATAAAGTTTTGAAAAAAGATAAATTTCATAGATTTTTACTAAGAGGAAAGGGTTAACTTTCCTTTTAGGAAGAACAGACTACAAAAGAATACTTCACCCTGTCCACCTGAGAAGACTAAATCTAGTCACTTCGGGGTGTAACACTGTTTGTAAATGCCGATATATCGCCATGTCTGCAGTGACCTATTCTCGAAAAGAGTTCTATGCCCACCTTCGCAGTGTTCAATATGTCAGGACATGAATATAGTAACTGAAAAAAGCATCTGAGGTGGAGGTAACTCACAACCCAATGGCTTATTGAATGCTGTCGATGTCAAGTTGTCCTGTAACCCTCAGTGATAGATGTAACAGAATCACAGCAGTGGAGTTACATGTTATTTAAAGAGTGTAATTCATCTGCTTCACTCTGTTCATGTTTAGTGATTATCTCATTATATATATATATATATATATATATATATATATATATATATATATATATATATATATATATATATATATATATATATATATATATATATATATATATATATATATATATATATATATATATATATATATTTTCCCCACCAATAAAAAAAAATTGTTGGGAAAAAAATTCTCATTTTAAAACATCAGTGACCTTTGTAACACGGTTGTTGTTTTATCTTCTAAGGACTGTTCCCCCTAGAACTTTCACAGGTTCATGACCCATTTTTTTTTAGCTCCTACAAAAGAATACTTAAAATGGTACGTCACCAAAAAAACCAACAGCATTTAAAACACAATTTGGGCATCGCCAAGACTGACATTTACATTTATTAATCAGCTTTAACTGTTCCTCATTGCAAACAACTGAATTTGAAAAAAAAAAAAAAAAAACATTTGCCCCAAAATTATATTTTCTTCTTTATTCAAAGCCCTTTAGGTTTATTGCTGCATAAATCACCCGCCTCCATTCATGTCTGTCACTGGCATGTTCTTTCATTGCTGCTTCCCATTCTCCATTATCCCCTGCTTGTATCTTTGATAGGTCACAAGATTTGCCATGGAGAGACTTTTCTAAGAGGTTTCTAATAAGGCTTTGACTCATTTAACTGCACAGCTATATCAGACAACTGACTGACTTTCTACCCCACCAGGACATCACACAAGCGATAAACACCCGATGACACAAAGTGCCACGATGTGGATGAGGATTGCCGTGGAGAGGTCCCAGAAACCACGTTCAGACAATTGGCCATATTTATGGCCTGCCTTTTTGCGGCCCCTGGCAAAAGCCAGGGTGGGACTTCAAATAACAAAAAATGTCATCCTAAAAAAGACAAAACTGGATAGCAAAATCATTGTTTGCGAATTCGATAATCAGACAACTGGTCGTATCAGTGTTTTATATACTGCACTTTCACAAGCAGAGGCTTAACTCTAATATTATCATAAGATTTTACAGGAGATGTGCAAAAGGGGTTAATAAACAAAATGAAAATAGCTCACATGAGCTACTTTCAAGGAGCCAACCTTAACCTTTGCTTCATATTACAATATCCAGCCTGATTTAGTTAGGATTTTCAGACCATACATAAAATATACAATCACACAGCATGCATTATTTGATATACACTGACAAGAGCTGATTATATATGATGCACAATTTGGGATAAAGAGTTAAATATACACAAAGAAGTGGGGATAACTGTCATAAAAGGCATACATATATAATGAATAAAGACAAACATGGGAAAAGGTTACAGATGGCTTCCCCAGTGTGGGTTCCAAGGGCCCTAATTTGGAGAACAAAGAACACCCACAGCTTCCCTAACAGGCCTGTCATAGGAGGCAACTAAACACAGCTGCTTCCTTCAAAGTCAGAGTGCGTGTACCTGAGAGGCAACGAACCAACAGTCTGCATATCAATAAGTCAGATCTGTAAAGCAGATGCGCATGCAACATTCAAGTTCTGCATCAAGACCAAAGTCCAGAATGGACAAACATGCAAAACTTTCCACTGACATTTAGAGCCAGTGAATAATACGTAAAGAAGAAGAGCTGAGTTAAGTTGAGAAATAATATCCTAGCACTTGAAGCATTCCCATAAGTGCTCTGTTCTCATCTACAGCAGCCAGCAAAGAGTTCCAACAATAATGGCACCAGTAGTCTTGCCTGTCCTTGATTTGCTGAACAGATCTTTTAGTCACTTCCTGATGCAGCAGGGACAAGGCGAACATTACAACAGCATAATCACAAGGGACAGATGGGACACTGCGAATATAAAACTGCCATCATACTAAAGCAAAACACAGATACAGAAAGTGGAGACAAGAAGACACTAATATAACGACACAGAGAGTGGAATATCTGGACATCAAAAGAGTACTATTTAACACAGTAGTCTGATCTGTTGAAGAGATTTTTGATGCATGCGGGGAATTCTGTTCAAACTATGAAGCTGAAATAATTGCACTGGAAACAGCAGTATACCACCTAAAGACTGTAATGGATGTTTACCCCTCAAAGGTCCAAAATATTGTCATCTTCACAGATTCAATGTCTGCCCTTCAAGCTCTGGAGGGCAATGAACGCTGCAGAACTGACATAGCCAAGATAATCC